GGTTAAGCTGGAACCCATACTACTAAGTGAAGTATCCAAGAATGGAAAAACAAGCACCAGATATATTCTCCAGCAAACTGGTATTAACTGAGTAGCACCTAAGTGGACACATAGGTGCTACAGTAATAGGGTATTGGGCAAGTGGAGGGTATATACATACATAATGAGTGAGATGTGCACCATCTGGGGGATGGTCATGATGGAGACTCAGACTTTTGGGGGGAGGGGGGGAAATGGGCATTTCTTGAAACCTTAAAATCTGTACCCCCATAATATGCCGAAATAAAAAAAATGTATATTTTTAAACAATGAGCATGTAATGTTTACTGGATTATAATTAATCCAATTCTGTGTGACTGTGGAATAAAAACAACTAAGATTTGTTATATAATGCCCATACATTACACATTTACTAAATAATATCACTGAGTAGTAGTATCTACTTAGGACCTACAAATTTTAAATAAATCATGTATGGATTTTTTCAAAAAATGCAATTTTTAAATTCAGTATTCAAACATTAACAACTATTAATCAGGAGCCTATGACTATTTGGCAGTAAAAATAAAAACTCTCATTCACTTTATTTTTTTTTCTATTATTGTACTTTGAGAAGTGGCTTATCTCCTATTAGAAAAATTAAATTATTTAATTTAAACAAATTAAAGTATGTATTTAAATAATTACTGTCCAACCATGATGAGAATCTGAAGGAAGTGTATGAACCTGGCAAAGATAACATGTGGGAACATATGAATGATGAATTAATGTACAATTTTTGTGGTAAACAAAAGATTGCCTTTCACTAATAATTTAAACAGAGTGGAGAAATAATAGGACAGAAAGATAAGTTAAAAGAGGGCCACAAAATGAGTCTGAGCTTGGAAAATATCACTCTGCATAATAAATTCTATTAATGAAAGGAGATGAGAGTAAAGACAGGGGAATATTAATATCATAGTGAATATAGTATGAGTAGCAGTTTTAAATTAAAGGTATATATTTGATAAATATTACTGAAAAGACACATGAACAGAATGATAAACATTCCATTAAAAACTGTATTGAAAAATTTGGGGCAAGAAGTACTAACAAGAACTAAAGAATTCACAATCCATTTTCTAAAATTATTCATATTCCTTATGAAATCAATTCTTTGAAAATATAACATTTTATCAAAAGTTTTAGTACAACTACCCTATAAAACTCCTTTTATTATGCACTCGAATGTTTATAGCAGCTCAATTCATAATTGCAAGTCTGTGGAAACAGCCCAAGTGCCCATCAATTCAAGAATGGATTAATAAAATGTGGTATATGTATACCATGGAGTATTATTCAGCTCTAAGAAACAACGGTGATATAGCACATCTTATATTTTCCTGGTTAGAGCTGGAACCCATACTACTAAGTGAAGTATCCCAAGAATGGAAAAACAAGCACCACATATACTCACCAGCAAACTAGTATTAACTGAGCAGCACCTAAGTGGACACATAGATACTACAGTAATAGGGTATTGGGCAGGGGGGAGGAGGGCAGGGATATACATACATAATGAGTGAGATGTGCACCAATCTGGGGGATGGTCATGCTGGAAACTCAGACTTGTGGGGGGAGCGGGAAAGGGAATTTATTGAAACCTTAAAATCTGTACCCCCATAATATGCCGAAATAAAAAAAAAAAAACTCTTTTTATTATATAGTTTGATAAAATTAAAAGGAAACCAATTGGTTTCCATTGTCAGTTTTTATATAAAAGGTATGTCTGCTTTCCTAAATGATAATTTCTCAATGTTAATATAATCTGTATGTGAAATTTACAGCTAGAGTATCCCTTAAGAGCACATTTGTTCAATCTTATTTATTTATTTATTATTTTTTAACTTGAGACAGAGTCTTGCTTTGTTGCCCAGGCTAGAGTGAGTGCCATGGTGTCAGCCCAGCTCACAGCAACCTCAAACTCCTGGGCTCAAGCAATCCTACTGCCTCAGCCTCCCGAGTGGCTGGGACTATAGGCATGCGCCACCATGCCCGGCTAATTTTTTCTATATATGTTAGTTGGCCAATTAATTTCTTTCTATTTATAGTAGAGCTGGGTCTCACTCAGGCTGGTTTTGAACTTCTGATCTCGAGCAATCCGCCCGCCCGCCTCTGCCTCCCAGAGTGCTAGGATTACAGGCGTGAGCCACCGTGCCCGGCCTCAATTTTAAAAGTCTATGCTAAAATCACAACAAAAACATCTGCTCAGATCTGAAAAAACAAAGTATTTTTAAAACAATTTAATCTCTATGATGTTCAGATCTCTTTGGAATAAGATGAATATTTGGAGGAAAAAAATGTTCAGTTACATTTGACAAAAAGAGCATAGTAAGCAGAGAAGTTATTAAAATAAATTTAGAATCAAATAAATAAACCAAGAATAGCTATATTATAGTTAAATGTAATTTACACTGTGTTACAATTAATCCTCATCAAGCAAAATAATAATTATTTTGCAATGGCACCAACATTGCTTGGCAAGCAACATAGCAAGGTGTGGAATGCAAGCATACAGGAGAGATGAGATTAATTGGGCTAGAAAACAATGGGTGGTGTCAAGGATTGACACTCAAAGAGAAAATTAAATTAAGGTTGACAAATACAGTCTTTGGGCAACCCTGTAAACAGCAAGTCCTCATAATCAGGACAAAAAGACATCAGAAAGTAGGCAAAGGAGCCTGAACAACAGTTGAGTTTGCTATTAAGTCAGGTGATTAGGTTGCTCCTGAAAAAAGCTACATGTCACTGATCAGACTGGGAGAAAATGATAGGAGTTTCTATCATCCAAATCAGGTTATAGACTGTCTAACAATATTATAAAAGTGAAACATCATTTGAGAGTTTACCTGAATCTGTGATTCTTATTACCAAGGCAGTTATAATTATATTGACTATCAAGCAATATGACATTTCTATATCCTTGGAACTTATCAAAGAAATGTGTACAATACCTGTTTTATTTCCTGCCATTGCAATTTTGGCCTTTTGAACTTATTCTTACAGGTAAATTCCTTGTCCAGTTTTGCAAGGATATGGAAGTCATGAAGTCAGGCTAGTTGAAATAAGTCAAGTCTATGAATAGAACTGACGCTACCCTGTATCTGAGTTCTAATAACTAAGCTACTTCCCTGCCTTCCTACATAAGTAAGCTCTGCTTGGTCCATTAATTTCAGTAAACTTTTCCTGCTCTTCTCTCTCAGACTTAACTCCTTTCCTCAGTTACTAAGAAGGAAACCATCTAGTGCTGAGGTCTTATCACTTCTCTTCACACCGACCTCTAACAACAACCTCTAAATGCCTGCATCTCAGGGCTTGTTTCGTTTTTCCTGATGTCGGTGGTCTGGTAGCATTGGTCTTTCATTAATTCTAATAAAATGGGCTGTACTTCCCATTTTATCCTTATAAGTGTGTCTGGTCTGTAGTCTCCTATCATATCTCTTTGACATGTCCCACTGTCATGGAACCATGTTGAAAGTACCATACCTTCTCCATTTACATTCATCATAGTACATGGTTCAGGCCCAAGCCTATCTTTGATAAATGCTAATTATCTGGATGAGGAGCTGAGTCACAATGACAAGTTGTAGGATCATTAAATTATAATTGTAAAAATTAAAATTTTTTTAAGTAAAATGAGTGTTTGAGGCAAACTTAAATGAATAGCATGTTTGATGCCAGTTATATATTTGATGATGTCATATTATCTCATAGAGGGTTATACTTCTCAGTTTGTTTTGTCATTTTCCTCATTTCTGATCTTCCTTTACTTTATCACTCATCCTATTGTATTATTTGTCTACATTTTTCTCCATGTTCTCATTTTCCAATTTTCCTTATTTTTTAATGTTGATATGCCATTGGGTATTATGTTTTCTTCTTTATTAGCTCATTTTTCAATTCTTTTCTCTTTTTCTTTTTTTCAAAATTCTTAACCAGCATAGTGGCACAACATAGTAGACCCAAGAAATAAAATAAAAAAAAAATTAAAAAATAAATAAATAAATCTGCCAGTTTTCTGGTTGAAACTTGAAAAAATATACTTCAAATTCTGAAAATCCATTATTAAAAGTATAAATTAAATAGGAATAAACTTTACAACATAGGAACTTTACCTGCTGAAGTTGGCTCTTCTTCATCTGATGCTATGATAAGAGGAAAAGAGGTGAAGTGGGGAGAGGACAAGGGTGGGAATTGAAGGAGGGGGAAGGGAGCAGGAGAAAAGGGAGAGAAAGAGACAAATTGAGATTGAACATAAATATGTTTCACATTTCCAAACAATGACTGCAAGCCCTTGAGTTGTAATTGTGTCTGTACATTAGAAATCTGTCATTATCTATAACAGATTAATAAATATTTGCATTAAATTAAAATTCATATGCTCTTATACTTTAAAACATGTATTTATTAGAAAAGAGCATTCAATTGTATGAATGTGATTTTTTTTCCCTTTGAAAATAATATTGACCTTGGTTAACTTGAGTGTAAATTATCATACATTACTATACTATTTAAAATATGAATTGTATATAACATATACATAACCCACCATTAATTTTCTATTTAGCAAAGAAGAGTTAAAAGGCATTATAGATGGTCCAAAACTGCGTTCCATGAGATATAATATAGAATTTATAAGAAAAGAGTTATCAAACTTTAGAGTGACTCAGAATCACTTTGGGCTTTTTTAAAGAAATGAAAATTCTATTTCTCTCTCTCTTTCTCATTCTCTCTCTCTGTCACACACACAAACACACACAGACACACACAGTCACTCATGTATACCAAGTTCTTCAAGATTTAGTAGTGATGATTCTGGGATAAGGACATAGGAACCTACATTTTAGAGGATGACCCTATATGGCTTTAACTCAAGTGGTCCGCAGCCCACACATGGATAAATACAGATATTATAAAGGAGGAGAACACAATATGAAAATGCAATTTTATCCTAGAGCAGTGGTTAACAACCGTAGGTGTATATTAGAATGCTAAATACTGGGCTCTATGTCAAGCCAATTAAGTCAGAATCTCTTTAAATGGTACTAACTTGTACCCAGGATTGAGACATTCTAGGAAATATCAATATAAGGAACATTAACTGTAACTCATAAAAGTGTGAATCATTTTGATTCTTGCTTTAACAGGTAGGAATGAGAGCAGCAAGACTCCAAGGGCAATAACCTACTTTTCTGTGTACGTAGAGGATAGAGCACAGCAATTACAAAAGTGGGGGGGGGGGGAAACTGTTTATCTGAAGTAGCTTCACAATTTTCCCAAGAATCCACCTATTCACCTTTATACTTCCAGACACACTCTGTGAGGAGGTATTTCTGCTCTGTGCACAAGTGCAGTTTACTCAGAATATTACCGTTGAATTATATGACACAAGCCAGTACTATTTCACTTAATTCACGAAGTTTTAAAATAAAAATTTACTCAGCTGAATTGCTTATAAAGGACCTTTGTTCTCAGCTGATTTGTTAATCAAGGTACACCGTGTAGCCAGGGAGCGGTCTCCACTCTTTTCCATTAAGGCTACATCTGCACTGAGTACACATTAGACAAGCTTACTTTGTGTCCTGACAGTATTTTCCTCTCACACTGTTTGGCTTGTCTCCTTGGCACATAAAGAAATAGAGAAAGCAAACACAGTTGGCATGCATGGCATGGAGAACATAAATATTTAAAAAGCTGTTTGCTGCTTTATCATGTCCAAAATATATCATAACATGTTCAAAGAGGAAAATTTTTGGGTAGCTCGTGGGAATTCCCTTTTAGGAAAATACCACAGGGGCTTGTAGAGTGCTGACTTAGATGGGTCATTGTTAATAAAAGTCTGGAGATTCAAAATGGAAAAAAAAAAAAAAACCTTAAAACTTATGACTGGTCACTTTACTCATTTAATTCACAAAGTAATCAATTAAATGAAAATTACTCTCATCTGCTAGAGGAACATACATAAGTTCAGAATGACTGAACAATTTGTTTAAGGTCAGTTTGAATTTGAGCTCATGTCACTGTGACTTTAAAACCAAATTCTGTTCACTATACCCTGTTGTCTCAAAAGTGCTGAATCAATGTCTACTTAAGAAAGAAAGGAAAAAAAAAAAAAACCTAGATGACAAGGAGTTTATTAAAATTCACTCACTACTATCTACAAGTGTTGGGTCACGAGATGAGGACTGGCTATATTCCTGATAATGTTAGTTACACTTAAGCATAGGGGAAAAAAGAAAGAAAGAAAATAACACCGATATTGGGGCTGAGGAGAAAAATCCCTTCAAGAAATGGATTTCTTTTTGGGAAATTTCTTCATGTTCCTTATAATCCAGAGAGAGATGAGAAACATAGGAAGGTGAGATCCTGACTCTGTGGTTAAAAAAACGCACTAAGGGTGATGTCTAAGGAAGAAAGATTAGAAGTGCTAAGATCATATTCTTCCATTATGTATATGTAAGCAAGAAATTTTAGGAAGAAACCAGCAAGTACAGAAATAAAGACAATTCCAAACTTACGAGAGTCAGCAATTATTAATAGAACCTTTTAAAACCAAAGCCTATAGGGCAAGCAGTGCACTAGCCTACATTTGAGCTGGCACTATCTGGAAGCTTCTTTGTAACAAATTAACAATATTAGAGTTAGCAGGTACCCAACTTTGCTTAGAACTCTATATGCAATATCTACTTAATAATGCTTCCTCGTAATATATAGATGTCACTAATCAATATTCATGCTGTTAAAATATACACACACAAAGATATATACACAAGAGTTAGTATTAGTATTAATTCACTGTTTTGTTTTTCTTTTTTTATTTCAGCATGGGGGTACAAATATTTATTATAGTTACCTCTGCAGCAGAGACAGCTTTGTAGCCTAACTGCATTACTGAACAAAACATCATGAACTATTAACAGGTGGTAACTACAGCCCCAGAGTAAAAATAAACCTTAAAGTGGATATTAGTTGCCTATTTAATGACATTCCAATAAAACAATTATCATAGAACGTACTGTCATGCTACACAAATGATTCTTTACTCTTTCTCTTAGAAGTCATAAAATCAGCAATTAAAAAAATATATGAGTCTGTGCCACAGGTAGACTCCTCTAATTCTGGAAATTAAAAAAAATACACTAAGAAAAGCAAAACTAAAGAAACTAATAAGTAACTATTAATCTACTTAGTCAGCATTTAGTAGGATATACTGAAATTATGGTGATAGTAGGAAAACAGACAGTAAAGAAATATATCTGATACACATCTAACATACAGAGTTTAACTTAATGTAGTCCTCCCATAACCCATAACAGAATCATCCAAGGTGTTAGACAAAGCAGACAAAAACATACACTGAGGAAAAGAATCCTTGTTCAATAAAGGGTGCTAGGAAAATTGGACAGCCACATGTAGAAGACTGAAACAGGATCTGCACCTTTCACCTCTCATAAAAATTAACTCACTGTGGATAAAAGACTTAAACCTGAGACATGAAACTACAAGAATTCTAGAAAAAAATGTTGGAAAAATTCTTATAGACATTGGCCTATGCAAAGAATTTATGAAGAAGACACCAAAGGCAATCACAGCAACAGCAAAACTAAATAAATGAGACCGGATCAAATTAAAATGCTTCTGCACAGCCAATGAAACTATCACAAGAGAAAACAGACAACCTATGGAACAGGAGGAAATATTTGCATACTATACATCTGATAAAGGGCTGATAACTAGAATCTATACAGAATTTAAGAACATCAGCAAGAAAAAAATCAAACAACCCTATCAAAAAGTGGGCAAAAGACACGAACAGAAATGTTTCAAAAGAAAACAGACTAATGGCCAACAAACATGAAAACATGCTCAACATCTCTAATCATCAGGGAAATGCAAATCAAAACCACAATGAGATATCACACAATGAGAATGGTCTCTATCAAAAAGTCCCAAAACAATAAATGTTGGTGTGGATAGGGAGAAATAGGAACACTCATACACTGCTAGTGGATCTGCAAACTAGTACGACTTCTGTGTAAAGTAATATGGAGATACCTCAAAGAGCTACAAGTAGAACTACCATTTTATCCAGCAATCTCATTACTGGGCATCTATCCAAAGAAACAAAACACATTCTATAAAAAGACATCTGCAGTGGAATGCTTAGAGCAGCACAATTCACAATTGCAAAGATGTAGAAACAACTGAAGTGTCCATCAATACATGACTGAATTAATAAAATATGGTATGTATATACCACGGAGTTCTACTCAGCCACAAAAACAATGGTGATCTAGCACCTCTTGTATTATCCTAGATAGAGCTGGAACCCATTCTACTAAGTGAAGAATCCCAAGAATGGAAAAACAAGCACTACATGTACTCAACAGCAAATTGGTATTACCTGATCAACACTTAAGCGCACATATAGTGATAACATTCATTGAGTGCCAGTCAGATGGGGGGGGGAGGGAATGGATAAATACACACCTAATGGGTGCGGTGTGCACTGTCTAGGGGGTGGACACGCTTGAAACTCTGACTCGGGTGGGCAAAGGCAATATATGTAACCTAAACATTTGTACCCCTTGCAGTATGCTGAAATTAAAAAAAAAAATTAAAAGTTTAAAAAAATGCCCTAGACCTACTGAATTTGAATTTTGGGTGTTAGCCCAGGCTTCTGCATTTTTAAAAAGCTCTGCAGGTTGTTATGAACACCATGTTGAAAATTATGACTATAGCCCATCAAAGCTTGTTTCACTCGGAAATTGCCAGGAGGCCAGTTGTTGGAACTACAGCAGTAAATTAGCAGGCTTATAGGGAACCATTTGCAGTGTACACTGTGGTTGTTTCATCAGCTTTCAATGCTCTTTTCCTTGTAACATATTCAGGTTTCATTGGGTATCTACATCAACGCTTTGAGGGAAGATGATTCCCCCGTTGGATTTAAAGAAGTCTGTGTCTCAAACTAACCAAATCTGTTCTATTTACTTGGCCATAGTTATTGGTCTAGCTATAGGCATATGTCCCATTTAGGGACAATGGAATGTAAGGAGAGGCTTACATGTGTCCGGTTGGGGAGAGGTTCTTAGAAAGAAGACATCCTTATCCTTCTGAGAATGTGCTCCAGAAATAACTCCCCCCT